GGCTTTCCTCCTCGTTGTCCAACCTCTCCTTGTACATCCTTGTGGGATAAAGAAGAAGTGGCACGTATCCATCCTCCGACAATGACTTCCTCGCCGCCTTCCTCTCATTCATTGAGGTCTTATTCTCTCCCTTCTTTGGGATGGTCTCTCCCTTGTTAGAATCCTCATTCTCCACCACTTCATTGGTGGCAACTTCCGGAACCACCTTCACACTTCTCACTTGGAGTGCATTCACCCAGGCTTGATTGGGGTTCACCATGGTTTGGGAAGGCAAGGCTCCCTTGGGTCTCTCAGTGAGGATACCGGCAAGGTTGCCGATTTGCACTTCCAAGATTTGAAGGCTCGCTTGATGGCTTCGAAGACCTGCCTCAATCGAGGTAAACTTGATGGTCGCCACATCCATAAAGTGTTCTATCTTCTCAAACTTTTGACTACTCGTATTCACAAAGGTGTTCACTAGGTCCTCAAGCTTGGATAACTTGTCGGGTTGATCTTGTTGTTGAAACCCTAGGGCACCTTGCGGTTGGTACAGTTGTTGAAAGTTTGAGCCTTAGAGTTGGGGCCTTTGTTGGATGAAGGTTGGCCGAGGTTGGAAGTTCCCCGTGAGGCCTTGGAAACCTGGGGCCTTAGATTGGCCAGTGATGCCCAAGCAAAGTTGGGGTGGTTCCTCCATCCGTGGTTATAAGTATTGCTATACGGTTTGTTGACCTTAGCATTTGCCACAAAGTTGACTTGCTCCTCCGGAATAGTTGCCTCCTTCATTGCTTGGAACTCCGCCATCTCGTGGCTAGTACTCGAGCACCAGTCGCACGACATTACCGCTCGTTTTCCTTGCCTTTTTATCTTCAAGCATAAACTCAAGCAACTTATCCAACTTGGCCTCAAGTGGAGCACTCGCTCCCACGCTTCTCACTCCCCTTTCATTGATTCTTCTTCCACTTCTAGTCAACCCCCAATCATACCCCCTAAGGGCCATGTCTTCTAGGATCTCGGTTATTTGGGGCGGAGCCATATTCATCAACTTCCCCTGACACAAGGAGTCAATGAGGATCTTATCTTCTAGCATTAGGCCTCCGTAGAAGGTTTCAATACGAAACTGTTCTTCAAACCCGTGGTGAGGGCACTGAAGTAAGTAATCGGACTAACTCTCCCAAGCATCCCTCAAGGTCTCGTCCCCTTCTTGCTCGAAATGTGTAATCTTCTTTCTCCACTCTGCCGTCTTCGAAGGCGGGCAATAATGGCCGACACACCATTAATTTTCAAGCTCCCCGCGAGCTCCAAGAATCTCTGCACGTGCTCTCTTGGTGACTCGCTTTCGTGGCCGTGGAAGAGAGCATAACTTTGTATCATAGACACTAGAGCCAGCTTGACCTCGAAATTGTTTGCCGCCATCGGAGGATGTAGGATCGGCGATTGAATGTCCGCCGGCCTTGGGGCCATATAGTATTCTATCATCCTCGGGGCTCCTTCTTCTCCCGCCTCCTCATTCATATGGCGGGCTTGAGCGGCTCCATCTTGCCTTTGGTTCCCGGCCATTTCTTCTTCTATGACGGGTTCAACTTCCACTTCTTCAACTACTTCTCCACGAACACCGGGACCCAATTGTTGTCCCCCTCTTTCACTCCTTCTCCTTGCCTTGGCTAACTCTCTCTCCATTGCTAGGAGTCGGAGATTTCGGTTTATGTCCTCGTCAATTGGTAGCAAGGGTGCCGGGTTGCTCCGGCTCATGCACCACCTACACACAATCGGAAAACACCAAGTCTAGCACAAGCAAAGAACACACACACACTTGAAAAACTGGAAATTAAAAGCTAGATTAACAACCAACAACTTTGTCAGAATTACAGACCGTTATCCCCCGGCAACGGCGTCAAAAACTTGACTCGCACCAAACTACACCACAATTAAACCCCATTAGAGCCCAAGATTTAAATTCTAATCGGGTGCAATATAGGGCAAGTATTTATATAACGACTCGGGCCGATTCGTCTACCCCTATTTCGGTTGTTGAAATCATTATCTAGCGATAAAACTTTGGTTTAAAGGTTTTCTAATTGAACTAAAAGAAAGCAAAGGTAATTTGGTTTGAAAACTCTTTTGTGGGAAAGTCACTTGGGTTTCGCTTCCCCCTAACCGCTACCATGCTACGTGGATTGGAACGATTGCCTTGGGCAAGTTAATCATGAACCGCAGAGGAAAGCGTATGTGGTCGGAGACCACAGTCTCAATTGCTAAACCGAGGTGAGAATGAAAGGCCGTGTCACTCGACCTCTCGATTTAGACAATCGGTAATTGACTTACTCCCTCACTCAACTCTAAGGTCGGACAGTTTAACTACGGTTAATCGACTTGTTTAATTCAATATTGAGGGTTGCCCTTACTCAACCTAGTTTAGGTGGCTTAGAAAGCGGAAGGAAAACCAACTCGATTGAGTCTCCTTTGAAAGTGGGATTTTCCTCTCTACACTAGGCTAAGGTGGCAGATTAGATTACTAGCACCTATATGCACAAACTTAGGGGTGCTAAGCATAATTATGCACAATCACTAGGATGCTAAGCACAAAACATGCACAACCCCTAAGTTGCTAAGCACAAGCATGCACAATAATGGTGAATAATGCCTCAAACATTGAATTAAACAATACCCAATATCAATCATCCAAACCACATACAATAAAACTACATGATAGAGTTAGGGTTTCACTACACCCAAGTGAAAGGAGGACTACTCCATGGTAGAAGTGGGAAGAACAAAAGGGGAAAAGGTGGAAACCATCTTTTGGGGATGCCTCCTCTCTTCTTGACCCTTGAGCTAAGATCTCCTCGGGGAAATCATTCCAAAATCTGCCTTGAAGCCAAACCCTAACCTTCTTCTTCCCTTTGGTTCTGTTTCTCTCACTAGAATGTTGAAGAAGGTGTTTCTCTCACAAAAGTGGGCTCTCCCCTCTCTCCTCCTTGTAACTCAGCTTTTAAACTTGAGAAGAGCTGAGTTCACGGCCGTGAACTCAAGCCGCGCGCCAAAACGCTCCGCATCGCTCACGTCAGTTCCCGGGCAACTGCTTGTGTTCACGGTCTTATTGACCGTGAACTCACCTTGCGTCAATAACCTTCAAATTGGCTCTGGACGCCTTGCGCTTCACGGTCAACTCCCCTTCTTCACGGTCTTGCATGACCGTGAACTCCTTCCTTTAGCCGTGAACTGTCACTTTTCACCTATTCTCCCGGTTTTCGATCATTTTCGCCAATCTTTCGACTCAGAGGCTTGTTTCACCTGTTAAATCCTGAAACACACTCAAGCACGAAGAACCTAGCGTAAAATCGACCTTTAAGGAGCGAATTTGTCACAAACATCTAAGCAAAACGGTGGCAAAACATCTGCAATCAGGCCCGAATCAATTGTGAATGCCAACCTTGGAAGATAGAAAGTTAAAACGATCCGCACCCAAGCCTTTAGTGAACACGTCGATCACCGGATCATGAGTGAGAATATTTTGAGGTGCAATCTCACGTGTAGCTACTCGTTCTCCGTTGAAATAGCAATCCATTTCCACATGCTTAGTTCTCTCGTGAAAGACTGGATTGGCTGCTATATGCAGCGCTTCCTGATTATCACAATGCAAGGGAGTAGCTTCCTTAATGTTCACACCTAGCTCTTGAAACAACCACCGCAACCAGATTATCTCACTTACTGTATTCGGCTTCTGCTGAAGATCTCGCTACCACTGTCTACTTCTTTGTACGCCATGAGACTAGACTCCCTCTAAACTGGATAAAATAACCTGTATTTGATATTCGGGTTTGCTGACATCCACCCCAATCAGCGTCACAGTAAGCAACCAAATTCTTTGCACCATTCGCTGAAAGGAACAATCCCGTTCCTCGTGCACCCTTTAAATAACTAGCACTCTATGCGCTGCACCCACGTGCACTTGGCGTGGGCTGTGTATTGCCTGACTGAGGAAATTTACGACATATACGATGTCCGGTCGTGTTACTGTCAAATACAGCAAGCGTCCGACCAGCCGTCTATATGCTGATGGATCCATAGCTTCGGGTCCTTCCAAAGCACTCAGTTGATGATTTTGCTCCATAGGGAAGAGCGAAAGACGCACACCTTCAACTCCTGCATCAGCAAGAATATCCAATGCATACTTTCCTTGGGTAAGAATAATGCCTTTCTGCGACCCTGAGACTTCAATTCCAAGAAAATATTTCAAGGTTCCCAAGTCTTTAATGCTAAAACGGTTGTGCAGAAACTCCTTCACCCGTTAAATGCTTTCCAAAGAGTTTCCTCCAAGTATAATATCATCAACATATATCAGGGCAAAAGTGGAGTGGTCACCTTGTCGCCAAGTAAAGAGCGAATGATCTGCTCGCGAACAAGAGAAACCAAAACCAACGAGACTTGTGGTGAACTTCGTGTACCATTTTTGGGAAGCCTGCTTAAGTCCATAGAGGGATTTGCAAAGACGACATACCCTGTTGTCCGCCAGTCGAGCAAACCCTTGAGGAACGCGCATGTAGACCTCCTCCTCCAAATCGCCATGAAGGAAGGCATTGTTAACGTCAAGTTGATGAGGAAACCATCCCTGCTGAGCGGCTAAGGCCAAGACGCAGCAAACCGTCACAAGTTTTGCAACGGGAGCAAACGTATCGTGAAAATCGACACCCTCAACTTGAGTGTATCCCTACGCAATTGGGTGAGCTTTATAGCGTTCCACTAAGCCGTCAGGATTATATTTTATTTTATAAACCCATTTAGTATTAATGACACACATCCAGGAAGGCAAAGCCATGAGCTGCCACGTCCCATTGGCGACCAAGGCGTCAATCTCCCGCTACATGGCATCGCGCCGGCATTGGTGTTGCACCGCTTACCAAAAAGTCTTCCGCTTAGTCTTACGAGAGATGGCTGCAATATAGGCGCGATGATTAGAGGAAAGCCGAGCATAATTAACAAACGCCTGTAAAGGATATTTAACATATGATACATGACCTGACTTAGACGAGGGAATCTGGACGTCGTAATGTTGAGTGAGACATGCCACGACTAAGAGCTGCAGGCTCAGGCTGCTCCGGTGGATCATCGTTCTCCAACTCATTGGGGGACGAGGAGGAAAGGTCATCCGCTTCACTCAAGGCAGAATCAACAGGGGGGACTGTGGTCAGTGGAGTTGAAGTGAGAAAATCCTCTCCTTCATCGACCATTGCATGTTGAGGTGGTGTCGGAGACGACAAGCTAGAGCTGCGGAAAGGAAACTGATCCTCATAGAAACCACATCTCGAGACGTGAACAATTTCCGTGTCTCTAAATCCATCACTCGATAACCCTTTTGAGAAGACGGGTAGCCTAGAAACACACAGATACACACTCCCCCTTGCACCGAAATTGTCCAAGTGATGAGACGTGTTCTTAGCATAAGCTAAGCAGCTGAACATGCGGAGGTGGGTGTAGTTAGGCTTGCGCCCAAAAATGCGCTCGTAGGGAACATGGTTCTGAGTTGCCGCAGTCGGCAGCCTATTAAGTAGGTAGACAACACTCACCCCAAAAATCAATAGGAAGATGCGCATGGAATTGCAGAGCGTGCGCCGTTTCAAGCAAATGGCGATGCTTCCTTTCAATGACCCTGTTCTGTTGGGGTGCGTTGACACATGAAGTCTAAAGAATTATGCCTTATGTCTCATAATAATCAAGCAACTCATGCATCTGAAATTCCATGTCGTTATCAGCCTGTATCCTATGCACGGAATGCCCAAACTGGCAAGCTGACTGCTAGCAGAACAACTTCAAATACCGACTAGCCTCAGATTTAAAACGCAAGAGATAGACCCAAATTCCTTGACTATAATCATCCACTATAGTCAAGAAATAATGTGCCCCACTCAAACTGGAAGTGGGATAACCTCCTCTCGTGTGCTGCATGGACTACGACTAACCTGGACTCCTCGAATAAGCGCAGATGATAGAGACCATCATGTTCCATCCCCATCCCAATCATCCTTCTGGAGCGCGAGTCTTGGAGAAGGCAAAAGTCGCTCAAGAAGGTCAAGGCGATGTGAAAGTCCATGGTGAGCTTACTAATAGAAAGCAAGTTGCACTTAAAATTTGGTACAAATAAGACACGTGGCAGCACATGGCCATTACTGAGTTCAACCGACCCTATGCCATGAACACGCATAGCATCCCCATTCGGGATGCTAACACGAAGATGTGATTCGTCCAAAATCTGTGCAAACATGCGTGCATCGATGGCAATATGCTCATTGCATCCGGAGTCGAGAATCTACAAGGCCGAGCTAGGAAAATTACCTGAAAATTTATTGTTGTCAACAAAGGACGAGTCACTGGCAAGGAACCTCAGTGATGGAAGGGGAGGGCTTCATGGCCAGCATCTGGGATTTAACGGTAGAAAAGACGTCATCCAGACCCATCAGAAAATCAAATAGACGAATGCTCGCGTCCCGTTCCCGATTGCGTTTCTCCAGGTTGCACACACACTGCCTACATGTACATGCAGGAGTAGGAGAGATTGTTGGGTGGACACACTCAGTATAGTAAGCGGACACACTGAGCTTTTCTTGAGGAAGGAGACTGATCTGGAGGCGTAGTTCGTAGTGACGAGTCGCGCTGCGTTGGCCAAACTGAATCTTGAGATCATCCCAGATCTGTTGGGAAGTCTTAGCGAAACGAATGCTACAACAAACTTTGGGGGGGGTGATTGAAGCCTTAAGCCACCCCTTAATTGTTGCGTCACCAGCGGAGCCAGGCTGCCCCTTCCCGTGGTAGCTTCGGGCGAGGAAGAGAACCATCAACAAAACTTAGTTTGTTTTTTGGCCAGGAGCGAATCGGTCATGTCTACGACCCATTCACCGTAGTTGTTCGCAGTCAAGAGATCACCAGCATGCCGTGGATATGCCCGTGGAAGGAAATAGACGGAAGTAACATCAGAGGTAAGGGGATTGTCAATGTCGCCGCCACTGCTTGAGCTATCCTTATTCGCGTCGCTAGCATAATGCAACGAACACAAGACAGAACCTACGCCCGATCAAGAGGAAGACACAAGGATGATCTTAGCACTCTGTTACCATGAAAACTTTGATCAAACAAGAATCTACATAACACAATATTTACGTGGTTTCCCCATTCAATTAGAACGAGACTACTCCACGGAGATCTAGGGAGCTCGAGTCAATCTTATTATGTTGCGTTACTTTTCTCCAGCATCCTTATTGTTCCTTTTATATTATCTGAACCCTTCACAAGAGTCTCTAGGGTTCGGCTACAACTCATGGCAAACTACAATTAACTACACTAAGTATAAACATTAAGACAATTAAGTCCCTGCACTACTCGGACCATGCACCCATCACGTAATGGTCCGCAACAGCGACGATTCATCTCGGTCGCTGGGATTTGATGTATGCTCTGGAGGTATCGCCAGACTGACTAAATCATTGACTGCGGGACTTGCGACGAACTCGAATCTCGGTCGTGAGTGAGTATCTCTAATCTCCTCATGGCTTCCCTACCAAAGCGAAGGATAGAAGTGGCGTTGGAGCTTAATAGGGTTTATGTCGCTCGACAGATCTGATAGAGAGATGAGGGGCTTTGAGGCAGTTCTTTTTGATGAGAGAGAGGGGGAGTGGGGCGCCCGTGATGGTGGAGAGGGGTGTAGAAACCTTTTTACATGAGGATTTCCTAGTTATATTACTATAATATCCTTCTATTAAATCTGACCTTAAGATTATTATTTTAATCCAATGGAAGTTATTGAAGTTAGTAGTTAGTACGGAACTAATCCTATAGATGGTTAGAAACCCATTCCATTCCTTGTATAATCTATAGTTTAGTTCTATGCTCGAACATGATCTGTACTTCATCTATTCGGCAAAGAAATCTATTGCAAAAAGAAAAGAAAAAACTGCTCTTCCTCGTCTTCTAAAATCCTGGCCAACAAAATGAAAAAACAAAAACAAAGAAACCAAAGAAGATATATGTCATTTTCAGGATGGCGACCGGTAATGCTAATCTGGTTCAGGGGCGGACCAGGGGTTTTAGGGGTGTACCCGGACACCCCTAAATTTCGGGAAAATGATTATCCAACTCCCAGTGGTAATTTATGCATAGACAAAAAAATATAATTGATAGTGAGAGACACCCCTGAAATTTGAAAAAATGATTACCCTACTGTCATTTGTGGATAAAAATATAAATGGTAGGTTGGGTAATTCAAATCTAGAATACTATTATTATTAATAAACTTAATTTCCGTTGAGCTACAACTCATTTGTTGTTCGATTTTGAACAATGTGTAATAGTAAAAAGTCATTCCCTATCTCTAATTATTTCAATCTAAACTAATTTCAATCTACCCTTAATTTGTATTGATTTTATGATTGTACGGCAAGTGTTGAAGAGTCTTTCAGCTTTGGTTACATCAAGAACAAGTTTACAAATCGAATATGCGATAAGTTTCTGAATGATTGTCTAGTAGGGTATATGGAGAATTTTTTTTAACACTATAAACACCAAGTGTATTCTACAATTATTTTCGAATATGAAAACACATCATGGACTTTTTTAACCTCTACGAGTAAGGTATTTTCATATTTATGATTTTATTTTTATTAATTATTTTTATTTTTATTTAATTTATTTTTTAAAAGAGGACACCCTTATGAAAAATTTCTGGGTCTGCCACTGATCTAGTTAATTGGCGTCCAGCTAAACTGGCTATTTGTAGAATTTATGTACAAAGTTGTGGTATTAATTCCATCTTGAAAGAGTGATATTTTATTTAAAGCACATATCCTAGTAAAGTTGGCACTTTATTCTTCCATCCTTAATGGATAAAACTCAACCAATTCCTAACTAATAGTAATGATAATGAGGCAAGTATCTCAGTATCAATATTTACCCTTACTAAGCGTGAGTCAGGTTGAATTATATTCATATGTGTACGATATTGTGTGAGTCGTCTCAATCTTATATGTTATTTGAAATAAGAACATTGATATTCAATTTTTTACGAGAACACAAATAGAAAAACAATACATAAATGATTAGAATGAATACTTGAGTCTAAACAATTTCTTATTTCCTTTATAATCCTCCATCAAGCTCACTTTTGTATTGGAGCTACAAGTAGGTAAAAATATTCGGACGCACATTGTATTTGAAATTTTGTGGAAAAACAAAAGGGTTATTGAAACTTACGTAACCAAAAATTGGGGGTTTTCCATAATTATTGTGATTAAAAAAAAAATCCGAAATGTAGTGGTTGAAAAAATATTTCCCAATCTACTGTGTCGAAACCGTAGTTGAGGCGCGCGCGTCCCAATTGGGCATTTTGTTGGGTAGAAAGCCTAATTTGGGCGCGCATGCCTATATACAACAAAAATAAATAAATGAGGCGTCAATAAGCCCAATTTGGGCGAGAATATGCCCAATTGGGGCGTGCACGCCCCAATTGGACTTATTCTCGCCCCAATTTGCTTTTCAACGTACAATTTTTCCAACGTCCCAGAATAGACCAACGGGCAATTTCCCAACAGGCAAAACAAACGGAAACAAGCCTAGGTCTAATTTGGGGAAAACCTTTGCCTCTCATTCGGCCACCTCGGTCGGGATTGTCGACGTGGTGCCCTCCTCCACCGTCAACCTCTTCGTCTTCCATGATCGGCGGAATGAACAAGGAGAGTTGGAGAGAAGTTGATTTCTGACGGGTTTGGGCAATCGATAGGGGGGAGGCGATTTCATACGGGTTAATGGATGGGGCAATTTCCACTAGGCTTAAGATGGAGTTTCCCGGCGACCTAATTGGGGAAATATGGAGGAAGAAGACGATACAAGCTGTATATATGTATCTGGGCGAAAAAAGACTAATTGGGGCGGCAACAAACCCAATGGGGCGCGCGCCCCAATTGGGCTTTTTGCCGCCCCAATTCGTCTTTTGGCAATTGTCGTGTTAAATTGGGGCGCGGACGCCCATATTAGGCTTTTTCTCTTTTGGAGAACCCAATTGGGGCGCGTGCGACCCAATTCCTGTTTAGAGACAATAGATTGAGAATTATTTTTTTAACCACTGCATTTCGGATAATTTTTTTAAAAACCACAACATTTATGGAAAAAAAACCCTAAAAATTGTTCATTCACAAATAATATTTCATATATTCGCCTTATCTTCTTAATCCGTGTTCTTCTTCTT